TAATAATAAAAAAAAAAACGAGTTTCAAAAGGGCATTTCTTTGATAGAGGGCAAACTTCCTAGTGCTTTAGCACCACCTAGTGTCTATGTGTGCACGCCCCTGGCGGGGAGAATGGCGCTTGGCTTACTGGACAGTGATGTCACTGCCGGAAGATGTCATGAGTGAGGTGTTACTATATTTGGGCAAAAATGACTTGTCCCAAACTTAGTGATCGCAATGAAAATTGATTTTTTTCTTTTTCTTTTACTGATTAACGCTAAATTCATTAAATCACAGGTCACGTATTAGTTTTAGGTATAAATAATGATCCACTGATTATTCTTTGTTGACTGGACTTTTCCTTTAAATCCAAGCATTTAATTACAGCAGTGTATTCTCTTGTTACTTGATTTTGACAGTAAACCATAAATGAAATGGAACTGTTTTGATGTGTATGAGATTAGGTTGTGCAAATATGTGAGGATATAAGTTTTTTCTCAGGTTATATCTGTACTTGACCTTACTAAGGTATTCAAACCCTTGGGTTGCATGAAGAAAGCAATTCTACAAACTAAAGTTTTGTACAGTAGAAAGTCAAAAGAGGTTGCATTTTCTGTTTGCTACAAGTCATATAAGAAAGGCCCATGATAACTCTGGAGGAGCAGCAGAGATCCACAGCTCAGGTGAATAACCTTCAGTCTGCATATCTATTAATTGTTTACTCCTACAATCTGTCCTTGTTGGAAAAATGGTGACATAAAATGATAAGCTGTGGGGGAAACATTCATGCAAAAAGATGCACTGAGAAGGGATCAAAAATAAACTTCTTAACCTTCCTGTAAAAACATTAGAAATCCAACACTGCGCAACGCCCTGGACACACAAGGCCTGTCATGAAACTGTACAGGTGTAACCGAGTCAGCCTCCTCAGCTTAGAGCCAATCAGACTAACTAGGAGGTATTGCAAAAACTTTTTTTTTTAATTTTGTTGTCCGTGAAATATGTCAAGCTGTCAATGAAACTCTGCACTAAATGGTTTCTGTCAGTTTTGCCTAAAAAAATCTGAGGATATAAGATGTGCTCTCTATTCATTCTTAATTTTCATTGCAATATTGCTACATTATGGTCGCCAGCTTGTTGTTATGGTAGCAGAAAAGTCACATATTGTAAAGTCCCGCCTCCTGCATTGTGATTGGTCCATTCCAAAGCTGGTCATAGTCTATGTTAGTTTACCAGACTGAACCATGATCTGTGTAATTCAGTCTGGTTGGCCAGGCTAGCAAATTATAGCGCTGCAACATCTTAACTTAGGTTGGCTGAATAGAAAAATCCCTCATTTAAGAAGCTTTATTTGTAAAACATTTAGAAAATGATGTATCATTCTCCCTAATTTTACATTCTGTATTTTCTGATGTACCAAAATAAATCTCCCCAAAATTAAAGGGTTTGACTGTAACATGAAAATTGTAGAAAAGGTCTTTCAATTACAAGCAAAATGACTGTTCACATAATCAGATTAACACTACACCCAGAAAAAGCTGTAAAACTATACTTTGGGCAGAGAATTTCACTTTCCTTCTTTATTTTCTTTATTAAAACGCATAAAAAATGAAATGAATAAGATCCCTTTTGGGATTCAAATTAAATGTGAGTAGTTGCTGACTGTAAGGTGAGATACACATTAACATTGTTCACACTCTGACTAGGAAAGAGTGGAATCTCGCAACTGGACTAGAAAAGTTAAAAATACCCTCCCCACACACACAGACAGACACATTCAAACACCTGCACTGTTGTCTAAGGCGCATTACGCAATGACCTTTAAAAGGATTGTACAGCAAATTAAAAGGAAGAGGATATATTCAGAGGTGACTGAATTAAATCATATTGCAATGAAAGCCTCAGTGAATCTAGTTCACATAGAAGAGATAAAAAAACCGGTGGTGCACTAGCAGGAAGATGGCTGCTACATCTTAAAGGTATTGTACAGGATTTTCTTGAAAAAAAAAATGCACATGCACAACCCTGAGAGGAAACGCCTGTTGTCCAAGAGCGTGCACAAGCCCATTTCTCCTCATGCATGCTCTGTTTAAAAGTTGGTGATTGCATCAGTCATAGAAGCTTACTTTGTCCGGGCATCCACTCTAACCCCTAAATCCCTCAATCGCTATATAACTATATAGTGAACTTTATAGTGAACTCAGTTAACTGAGTTCACTATAAAGGACAGATGATTACTGCTTTTTGCTCCCCACTGGTCATGTAACTCCTACTCCACTGCACAGTTACTGCACCATCTTTGTTATTAGTCGCAGCCGCTATGACAGCAATTCCCATAATGCTTTGCAAGGAAAGCTTTCCGCACATATCTACCTATTCTAAGGCCTTTATTTTCTTCTCATACACTCCTTTTTTTCTTGCGACCCTCAGACATTTTCAGAGAATCACGATGAGAAAGGTCAGCTTCAATGACCGTTTCAAAGCGTAGCTCACCACACATGTACGCCTCAAAGGTCGCATGCACAGAAAAACATAGCTAACTGGAGATGAGCACATAGGACGGCCTTATGTAAACATATCATCAGAATGACTGACAATTTGCAGGACCATTTATTTAGATGATCCTACCCGAAATAAAATGTTATCCTCTATACCTTCACTCTTGCACAAATTAGTCATCCACACCTCCTACTAGTATGTAGGAACAAAACACAGTGCAGCTGAGTCTTTCTCTGGTAAACTTGTAAACACCTTTCACAAAGGTTTTGCTTTTTTGACGTTTGTAAAAAGCATAACCTGTCATGTATACATTTAGCTAAACGTAATCATTAGTTACATGCAGTATGTCTGTGAGAGCATCATAATCTTGGATGCCTCAATTTTTATCATTATTTTGTACTGTGTAATGTTAGATATTAGTTAACCCTGTACTGCTGAACCACTAACAAAGCTAATATTTTCTATTATCCAGAGGTATCAAAATTATTATTTGTTTATTACTCAAGTAGCAGTATAGATCCAACTTTTTCAAAACACGTTTAAGGAAGTTAAAGTATAAACTTCAGCTTTTCACTCAAGTAAGCGTAAAAATACAATTTCTAAAACTACTTAGAGTATAAAGGTTCAAGGAAAAAATGTTAAGGACAGAAGTTTTACTGCACTACCTTATTAAAGGAACGTCTTTCTACAGTTCTGGATAATAAGTTCCTCATACTTACAAATTTCACTTTACATCATCTTGAAAAACAATTTATTTTGGAATGTGATGAACAACAACTTGGTGCAGCACATACTGTAGTCCAACCAAAAACAAATTCCTTGTCTGGATAAAACTAATTGTTTTGATGGTTTTTATTTTCTGAAATACCAACAAGCCATAACGAAAATGAGCTTAAATGAGACAAAACTAAGAAATCTATTTTTTAAATGTAAGGAGTAGAAAGTAGAGATAATTGCAAAAAAAAAAAGTAAGGGGTAGAAGTAAAAAGTTGCCTAAAAGATAATTACTCCTGTAAAGTATAGTTAGCCAAAATTTCTACTTAAGTAAGATAACGAAGTATTTTAACTTAATTACTTGACACCTTGGCTATTATCCTATTTGTGTCTTCCTTATGTCAGTATTTGTACTATTCCCTTGTATAACTCTTTGCCACTTGGTAAAGAAAGAATGACCTTTTTATTTTACCATGTTTTTTTAACTTGCTCATTGATTATTATACATGCTTCTGTTATTGTGACAGAATTAATGCGAAACTCCTTATAATTTGCATCAAAAATATGTAGCTATACAGCACATAAGTCTGAAGCACTGTGGCTTCACTGCATTTGTTTTTTACTGTTTCACATTAGGGTTGTATAGTAGTTTAGCACTTTGTGGTAAAACATAAGATTAGTAATTGTATAGTATATCATACTATAGTTAAAATAGACACATTTAGGTGTATAAAAAAGTAAAATACATGCTAAATCAAATGGTGGGCAAATATGTGAAAAGGATACTGTTAGCATAAGGAAACCAATGTAAATACAAATTTGGAAATGTAAAGCAACTCTTTCTTAGATAACTGCTTTTTATTTTCATCATTTGTGCAAATGAATGCAAGATTGCATATAAACCACCTGCAGCCTTTTTATGAAAATCTCAGGCACAGTTTGTTTAAACATCATTTCTAATGACTGGTTCTTTATCTCAAAATAGTACTGGTCCATTTGATATGCTCACTTTCTGTGTGCAGTTCATTGCCTCGTAATACAAATTAGTCTTTTCTCTGTTGTTGCTATTTTATGACCCAGAATGTTGTCTTTTTTTCCTTCTCAACTCTCCTCTCATTTTTTTCAGGAGAACATCAACATAGATGAGGCAGCAAACTGCTTGGTGAAACACATCATTGCAAGCGAGAATGACATGCTCCAATCAGAGGTTCCCGACACAATCAACCCTCAATTAGAGAAAGACAAAGGCGGGAATTGCTCCTCTTGCTTTCGATCTCAGTGAAAATGCCATTTGACGGTGGGATGTCCTTGTTTCGAGAGTAGTTTCACACAAAGCTATATCCGTTGGGACTTTTTTTACAGGCAGAGGGTACTGGTGCCAGTTCTTTTCTTGTTTGGAATCCTGGGGGAGGGGAAGAGCTGGCAAAGAGGCAGTTGGCTCGCGAATGTGAACTGGATAGAGTGAAAAAGAGAGATAGCTGCAGCTGTGGCCACTTGTCAGAGGCAGGGTCACCCCTGAGCATCTTCAAGCGTTGGCACAAACTCTTTGGTTATCATGGTGACACATTTAACAAGCAAATGCCCAGTGAGGTTGTAGCGAACCAGAGTGTATTTGTACTGAAGATCTGTGGAGCCAATTATTTCATACAGACTGTGGTGGCTGTCTGTCATTCTCCTGCCATACGTCCACCCCTGTTTGCCCTTCATCCCTTTTTTGTGTTCCTCTAAAGGGAATTACTGAAACAATATTTGGACTTTTATTAATCAAGTTTGAGCGATCCAGGAAAAGCAAAAATACTTTGAAATATACAAAACCCTGCTACTTTACACAATGATCTGGTCATTATTTACTTTATATCATTACTTTTATTCCAGCAGGAATACTGGCACCAGTAATGCCATGTAAAGCATATGATTTGTATGTAACTAAGGTGCATTTTCTAACATACCCCATTTTATTGAATGTCTTCATCAGATAATCTTCATTGTATGTTATTTATAAGTGCACCAAAGATGCACACTTTAACTGTTTTCTCACTGAGGTAAACATTCATGCATTATGATGGGGACATATGTGAAATTCTTTGTATTAAACAAATCTGATGTACATCAAAGACTTATCTGTATTTGTTATAATTCAGTGGTTTTATATTAAATGTCTCTCCCACTGTGAAATAGTTGTAACTTTTGTAATTCTGACTTAAATGCAAATATGTATATGGCTATGTACATGTTATACACAGCGAACTAAGACAGATATTATAAACATACAAATGTGTTAAATGTTTTCAAAGTGTTGATGCCAAATAAATATTTTGTTGGATTTAACTTTTAAATGTGTGAGTTACTTACTATCTGCGTGCGGTTTAATTAATTAAGAGAGTATGGTAGACTTAGCTGCTGCACCTATTTCCCGCTAAATTCTAACACCATTTAAATAGAAAAAAGTCAGATATTCTTTCATCCATCTCCAAACTTTTTTCCTCATATTAAATTTTATTTCAACAAATTTTGAATGCTTCAAATTAATTTGTTCTCCTTTAATTCTTTTTTTCCCCCATTTTATATAACGCATGTCATGTTTAGAAAAGATTGACTCTGGATCAGGGCAACCACAGAGAAAGACAATTTGTTTTAAGAAAGTTTTATTGTCCAGGTGCAGTTTAAGCAGATGAGGCGCCGGTGGGCTGGTCGTGTCTAGTTCTGTTGGAAAGGAAGAGGGCACTGGTGAGCAACAGGCTGGCACTGATGAGAAGAGTGGAGGATGCTTAACTCACAGAGGTAGAGGCTTGGCTTGACCAAGGGAGGGTGGTTTCCAGGGTCTGGGGGGGTAGTGCAGATGGTGTTAGAGGGTGGACAGGCAGATGAGCTCATTTAGGAGGACCAAAGCAGACTAGCAATCAAAGGGTTCCTTTGATACCAAGAAGGTCCAGGCTTGGAGGTTCTCAGGCTTAAGTCATTGGTTCTAGGAAGGAAACAGAAACACTGAATTAAGAAGGGGGGTTCCCAGTGAGGCAGTGGGTAGCACTGCTGCCTTGCAGCAAGAAGGTTCTGGGTTCGATTCCCGGCCCAGGGTCTTTCTGCATGGAGTTTGCATGTTCTGCTTGAGCATGTGTGGGCTCTCTATGAGTACTCTGGCTTCCTCCCACAGTCCAAAAACATGACTGTTAGGTCAATTGGCTTCTCTAAATTCTCCTTAAGTGTGAGAGTGTGCGTGAATGGTTGTTTGTTCCTGTGTTGCCCTGCGATGGACTGGTTACCTGTCCAGGGTGTATTCTGCCTCTCGCCCGTAGACAGCTGGCACCTGCACCCCTCGTGACCCCACTTGGGATAAAGCGTGTCAGATAATGGATAGATGGATGGAACACGGAATTAAAAACTGGCTTGGAGGTTACTTGGAAGAGTGTGGACGGTCAAATACCATGCTGGAAGTGAGAAAGAACTGATGCCTTCCTCCTGGTTTCTGCATCTTAAGAAAGGCTGTAATTCGTGATGATGGGGAGTACCTGCACGTCGAGAAAGAGAGCCCAGTCCTGCACTCAGGCATAAGAGTATGACAAGGCATGCTGCTAGAATTGATTTTTTCATTTTCTTTTCAAATTTTTTGTACGGATAAACTCTGTCTATAGTAACATTACTGACAACTTCATTGATAGTTTGATAATGCTATAAATGACCCCATAAAATAATCAATAAAATAAAATATCCATATACTGTGCATTTGAAAGGTGTCATTAGCTCCATCGTTAGTTTTATTACAGCCACATTGCCATCCAAAGTATAACCCAGCCGAGGAGAAACCATACACATTTTAACACATTTTTATTTTTAGTGGTTCTAGTCTGCTGTAAAGAGTATGGTGAAGCATTATCTTACACAAATAAAGCATGCTTAGTAGATAAATAAAATAATAAAAGTAACTTCCACTAACTATTAAACTTCCACTGTTGTTTTTTGCTGTGTTTAGTCATCAGAGCTACTCTTTATAGTGATACAGCAGGTTGTCCAGGTCCTGAAGCAACAGGGCAGTCCCAGACACTCCTAAGGGCCATTTGTATTGCAGGTTTTGAAGGTTTTGTAACAGGATACCAACAGTGTTCAACTTTTTCTTTATCGGTCATAAGAACATTTACTAACAGACTTAAGGACTGTCAAGCTATTTACCGTAATGGAAAATGTAAAGTGAGGCATTTTTTTGTGGTTATGGCTTTGAAACTATACATTTATGCCACTTATGTCTTTTTCTTAACACTGAATCATGAACATTGACGTTAACTAAGATAGAGTTGATATCTTTGTTTTTGACCTGATTCACAGTTCATCATGACCTCCTGCACACTCAAAAAATGCTTCGCCCATTATGAGTTATACTGAGGGCGGTTGGGTCATTTTTATGGGACTTGGGTTATTTTTTTTATTCAACCCATTCCCTTGTGAAAACATTTTTTTCAAATCCATCACTCTGCAATGGTTGATCCAGAACCTGTTGGTTTATGCTTTCCACTCATCACCTGGAAGGATAAGCTCCACTTGGGAACACACCACGGCCACCATGACTGTGCCAAGCTGCATGTTCTATCCACCACCAGGTAACACATTTGGTCCATCTTGACCATCTTCATGGCAAGTCATCAATAAAAGGTTTGTACTGTACATATCTAATGTACAGTGTCTGCTTTGTGTATCATATTCAATTAGTGTATTTTATTGTCAAGGCTGGTTGGTTTGCTTACCTGGCTAGTAGCTATTATCATGGAAGCACATGCCTTCCTGTTTTATCATTTGGGATTTACTGAATGATCTAAATAAACTAGATCATGATTTCCGTGTGTGTTTGGTCTTTAGGTTCCCAGCTGGTACTAGAGGGAACATAATAGTTTGCTGGGTTTTTTTTATGCATCTTATATCCTGTCTAACTATTCTGCATTGTAGGAGCTATTTCTCCATTTTTAGTTAAATCTTAGAATTTGGATTATTTAGTTTTATTTGTTATTTAGAATAAGATATGTTTTATTGATTCAGTTAATTAGTTAATTAATTTTAGGTTGGGATGTGGGTGTTTTACAGTATAAATAGGGAGGTCTTAGGTAGCTCATTATGCAGGTGTGTGGTCATATGGTTTTTTACCAGTTCTCAGTTTTCAGCCAGTCAATTAATCAGTCAGTCAATCAAAGAACAGGTGCAGGAATCAGAGTGAGAGCAATAGAAGAATCCTGTGAAGCTTGTTACCTGTTTGTCTGTATGGAGAAATAAAGCAAGCAAAGAAATGGATTTTGACCCTTTTTGATTTTTTTAACCGCGTAAGCCAGAATTCACGATGCATCAGGTGGCTATTTGAGTTGAATTCACCCTTTGCTTTGATCACGTCTTAATTTTTTTTTTTTTGTAGTTTTTTTTTATTTTTTTTTTTTTACAAATAGTCACTATATGAATAAATGCTAAGCTTTTAATCAGTTTTCTTAAAGTCTGTGTCAAGTCTGTTTCTGGAGCTGGGAGAAGCTGTGCACAGCTTGTTTCTAATAAAATGCGGCCTAGTTAGCTTTGCTTTCCCATGTAGTTCTTTGTAAAAAACAAGAAAACAACCTACTTTCTAATCTGCAGAAAAAACAAATTAAGTGGGATAAATGATAAAGAAGTACTACATTTTCTTAATATTGCACCATTGTTGATGTTTGTGGTGCTAGCTCTTGTTATGGCTGTATGTTGAGCAGACTTTGAACTTTGGTAAATTAATTACGTTACAACACATAACTGTATAGATGTGTTGATCCATCCAGAGAAATAAATCACAGTTAATTTTTGCCAAACCTTTTTTGTTTATTTCAGATCAATGGACAGCTTTGTCATCAACACTGTATCTGCTGTGGAAGCTGACGGACCTTATAGAAAGATATAAAGGTAGGAAACCTATTTCTCCCCATCCACAGCATTTAAAGTCTGCATTTTTACTATTATTTATAATAAGGTAAATGACTTTATTTCTTTTTATTCATCCCTGCTGTCAGATGTGCTGCACAGTATATGTAGAATCAGAATCAGAATCAGGTTTATTGCCATTGTTAGTGAAGGAGTTCACAAACTAGGAATTTTTTATGGCACAATCGTGCAACATGAAACATATAATATGGAATAGGTAAATAAAATTATAAAAATATCTAAAAACACTGTGGGTGTAAGGCATGCAAAAAATAGACTAATATATACACTTAGGATAAAAATATGGATAAAAAATATAAAAGGTAAAATAGTATCTTACAAGGTAGTGCAAATAGAGCAGTGTGCAAATAGAGCAGTGTATATAAATATAAATAGAGAACAATAGTGTTTACTACCAACGCTAAGTAACTTTTCAACCTTCATGAAATGTTTTCGTAACTTTAGAGGTTTTTCATCAGGATTTAGCCATGCTATGGTCTACCACGCTGGTCCTCATGGGAAATGTGGTCTTCCTTCAGAAAAAAAAACAAAACAATACAGCTTCTGTCCACTAGGGGTAGGCTATATCGACCAAAACTGAAATTTCTTTAGTACTGCTTTAAAGGTATAGTGGAGGATGTTCTTTTTCTAGGTGGATCATCAGAATAAGTGGTCCTCTTATAATCATTCTGGTGATATGTTTACGTAAGGCCGTCCTACATGCTCATCCCCATTTTCATTTAACGGTGGTGAGTCTGACATAGCAGATAAATTGCAAATGTTCTTTTGGAAAGTAAGCTTGTATGAGTGATGCAAACAGCAACTTTTAAACAGAGTGTGCACGAGGAGCAATGGGCTCGTGCACGCTCTTGCACACATTTAAAAGACATTTCTTCTTGGGTACAGGGTTGTGTATTTTCTTTTTAAAATGGAGAGGGTGGGTCTTTTCAAAGATTTGCGAAATCTATACCTTTAATCACATGTATTGCTATACATGTAGGTGGTGTTATGTGATATTTACATGCCTATAGTCAGTCAATTGTTGTAGATATGGGTAGTCCGTTGCAATTTCTTTTCATAATGATTGTGCTGCAATATGTTAGAATCAATCTGAGATATAAGACAGAGGTGTCAAAAGTATTTATGTTTATTATTCAAGTAGAAGTATAAATCCTACTGTTTCAAAACACTTTTGCGGAAGTTAGAGAATCACCTTACGATCTTCACTCAGTAAAAGTATAAATGTAAAGGTAGTTTTAGAACTACCTATTGTGTAAAAGTAATGCAGAGCAAAATGTTCAGGATGGAAGCTTTACTGCACAACCCTATTAAAGGAACACTTTTCTACAATTCTGGATTATAACTTCCTTATACTTCATTTTCTTAGTTTTATAACTGATG